ATTCTCTAGTCAGCTGAATTCCTCCTGATTTCTGCTATCTCAAAACAGCGCTGCACACCATACAGCTGCAGTGCAGATCACAGTGACACCTGAAGAAGAGAATTTACATGCTCTTGAATAATTATAGTTCTTTGAAACCATGACTGCACTATAGTAAGAAATCCAGTTTTCGAATTAATTCATTTTATGCAATGAATCCCATATTAAACCCCATGAAATATTAATAAAGCAGAATTCTGCACACATTTTATTTCTCTAAATCTCAAATAAAGCTTAAACGATGTTGGTACTGCATGCAGCTCAGCAAATAATGAATAGGCAATACTGATTCAAAAAGCAGAAAACATCTCTTGATTTCAGCTGCTTTTGTTTCATGAAGGCATCTCTCAAAATAACTTCATTCTGAATGCAACTCATTAATGTGTGCTCCCCGCCCCCTGCCTTCACAAGCCTTCTCCAACTGGCTGAACGCAGTGGCTGAAGCTTTTCGGATTAATTTTCCTTAAGTGACCTACTTTGCAGAGAAAGATAATCATGCATTTATAGCCTCTGGCACTCTATTCAGGTCACAGATGGACAGATAGCAAGGCTATTCCTCAGTGACTTACTGGGGTTGCAACTAATCCCCAATGAGAAAGGAGATTGGCCTGATGTTAATTGGTCAGAATGCCTGCAAGTATGGAAGATCATTGACTCCTACTGTAATTTTCAGGGGTGTTACCATTAGGCTGTGTGATACCAGCCAGCAGTCCTAGGAGTATTTTGTGATAGTGTCTGAATTACCGATGCCGCAGATGTTAAATATCTGACTTTGAATTCTTAGTCTTGACAGTGAAGCACCATGCAGTGTTCTGACTGAGAGCATGTCTGATACTCCACACATACCACATACTGTGGCCAGCACCAAGGGTTGTCAAAAGAGTTTTCACTTTTGGCTCACTAACAAATGCTCGCAATCCCATGAACAATTGTCATTGTCAAGATAGTCTCATCAGACCTAAACTTCTGTTTAAAGCTTTTTTTTTTTAATAGCATGATCAGTTAAGCCAATAAAACTCACGTTTTGCTACTGTCCAGTAGAGGCCCATTCTCCCTGTTGTTCTGGCACTAATGTAGTAATGTATGCAAAACAGCGTGTTCTCTTATTTTCAGATGTTCAGAAGTTTCACAAGGGAAATGACCAGACTTTGTTCTCTGCTAAGGTATTTTTAAAAGTTTGCTGGAGCTTTCCATGCTGAGAAACAGGCAACAAGCAGGAGTGTTAAGTATGACTCTTTTTTTAAAGGACCATCTTGAAGCTTTGAGTATGCCAGGCAGGCAGTGATGTTACTTCTGACAGGTCTGAAGAAAATCTGTTAAAACTGTGACACTGCCAGCAAAGGGGTGGGTGGCTTTCAGAACAAAAAAAAACGTGTATGCACGTTGAATTCTTGCCACACAGGGCTGCAGATGTGTATGCCCATGTCCCCCACTGAATACATACAGATTTGCTCTTTCCACCGCAATGCAAAACTGAAGACTATTCTGGTAGAAGTTGGTTTGCAATTTGGATCAATTTGATCACCAAGTAGGTGTTTATATTTCATCTGCTTCCTAGAACAAATTATCTCAGAACACGAGGGTTTAATTTAGATATTTACAGCTGTTAAGAAAAGCTGAAAGAGCTGTGCGGGTGTTTCCTATAAAAGAATGTAATGCATCGAGGGCCTGTGGATGATGGTGAACTAATTATCTCTGAAAATTAAAGCCCTGAGTTTGTCCAGAGGACGACTAAACTGTAGGCAATGAGTGTTCCTCCATAGGCTACTTCAGTAAACCCCAACATCAGCATCCCTTCGGAAAGAGAATTCTCATCATGTCTGAACAATGTGTTTCTCAGCGTTTCCTCTGGAAGCGTTGATGAGTGAACGTAGCTCTGCAGGTGTAGGCAGCAATGGAGATACTTTTAAGTCCATCTTAAGAACAGCCTGCTGAGGGTGTGCTTTTATCCAGTTCTAAAATAATTAATCTAAATACAAATAAATCCACTGCTAACTTTGTGTTTCCTGGTGTGGTATCCATAACATCTTTGTGTTTTTGTCAGAGAATGCAAGAAGAAACAAGTCTAAATAATTGAGCAGCCATTGGGTGTTATGAGATACAAAACTAGACTGGTTTAAGTAATGTGCTTCTATTTTATGGAGCCATAGCAGAATCTGTAGAAGATACCATAGAAACTATTTGTAGAAAAAAACAGCGTATGTTTTAAAAAAAACAATATCTGCATTACAATTGACATTTTCTTGCCCGCTATGTAGATCTCTTAGGGATAAAAAGTACAACTGAAAAATAACACTGGTGCATTCATATTTTAGACAACCAATTTAAAACCAACCAGCTCCAAAGAAACCTGCTAACTTTTGAACCACGGTAACCATAGCAACGATACAAAATATGTGCTTCATATTTAATGCTGACATTCCAATATACAAGTAATAATTTAAGACCTTCTGACTGTTTTGTTGGCAGAGTAGTAAGGGCAGTGGGCAAAGGTGAAACAGGACAGGAATCCTCCTTGCATTGTTACTCAGCACTACCTGAGAGTCTGTCTTCTGGGTTCTTCATGGCTTAGAAGTTTACCTTGTATCATGGTTATACACACTATTGCATTGAAAAAAAAATCCATTCACCACGTCCATTTGCATATTAAATTAGGATATTAAGTCATCAAATGGTTCTAATCATTGTCCCAGATACAAAGCTTTTAATCTGATGTGTTGCATCAATATAAAATCTTATGTGTCTGTTTCTTCTGTGGGGAAAGATGAGGAGTAAGGCACATTTTGTAAAGGTGTCAGGCATGCTCAATTTGCTACTAGTCCTGCCATAGCAGGACTACTAAATAGAGCTACTTACTTGCATGAAATATCTGGAATGGATATTTGTTTGCCAGATCAGAATGTCAAGGAGGAGTTATGAATATGATAATTAACTAGGGGTTTTTTAGCATATTTTTATAGAATTTATCTTCGGCACTACTGTAAGTGAAAAGTAAATCTGATCAGAGAAACGGAAGAGTAGGTGTTACAGAAGTTCTCATCCTCTTTGTGAGTCCGTTCCCCGATGAAGTAAGATTATCATTCTTTTAGTGTAGTCATTTAAGATTTAAAATTTCCAGTGGTGAACTTCTGATTAGGGGAATAGATCATGAAATGCAAGAGCAGTTTGAAAGATCTTGTATTGCTCTTCTGAAGGAACATGTACTTCTGTTCACGGGGACGAAGCAGCGTGCTTGGAAGGAAATGCTGGAGCATGGAAGAATCAGACATCTTGTATTAGTGAAACAGTAGATGTGATATGAAATGGTAATGAATGTTCCTTGGTGGCTGATTGATTTTGAACACCTAAGGAGCATTTGTAGGAGTCATAATATTTTTGAAATATGCTTTGGTGGGATGGGCTGTGCATATATGCATGAAATGGAAGAAACAAACTCTGTGGACAAAATGATGACAGAATATTTCATTGTTCATATGTACAAATTTCAAATAAACTCGTAAACTTACATGTAGAATAGTAATAATATATAATTAAATCAAGCATCTTAAAACATATTTACTATAATAAAAAAATATATTATAATAATTCATTCTAATTCATCACAAACCTATAAACAAAATCATTTTGGCCAGAGTTACAGATCTTTGGTTTTCAATGATGCCTTTAATAATAAGCCAGTTGGGCAGAATGAAATATTTTCTTTATGTATTTTCCATGTAGGTGTGCACCTCATAGGTTATGTTAGTATTATGTAAGTAGATGTTAATGAGCTATTTGCATACTGACATGTTCATCTGATGTGTCTGAGATGTTTTCCCCCTGCCTACTGAGTGCAAAGATAGGGCCTGTGGATGATGGTGAACTAATTATCTCTGAAAATTAAAGCCCTGAGTTTGTCCAGAGGACGACTAAACTGTAGGCAATGAGTGTTCCTCCATAGGCTACTTCAGTAAACCCCAACATCAGCTGCTTCTTTGCAATAAAGTAATAATGCCTCTGTGCGCCTTGTTCTTTAGTCTCCTTACTGATATTACTGAGGAAAGACATATTAAAACTATTATGATGTTGAAATTCAAGATATTTGAGTTTTCAAGTTCGAATTAAATATGGTATTTAATAAAGAAGGTATATTTCAGGGATAGAAGGTTTGCATTAAGATAAGTAAGCTGTAGTTCTAAAGCACTACATTAGCTTTCTTTACTCAGGTTGGTGATATACAGTTTTCTACAATATATTTCATAAAGTAGATGAGAAAAGCACTTTCACTCAGTACATATGTATTCAAATAATGACTAATCATATATGTATTCTAGAATTACATGTTGTTGCTTTTGGGAAGCTGATGTAGATTTCATCATCCTTAACATATTATTAAAAAAAATACCCTGTTGAACTGGAAGAGTAGAGTTTTTTTCCCAATAATCATCTATCTACATTTTCTGAATTTATAATGTTGATGATTTGAGCATTTGGATTCTCATTTGGACAGCCAGTCATAGGATTTTTGCGTAAGTCTGTTAGTCTTGGATATTGTATCTCTTTATCTTGTGCTTATATGTATAAATATCTTTGGTTTTAACTCTTTATCAGGGAGCATAGTGATAGGATGGGGAGTAATGGTTTCAGACTGAAAGAGGGTAGATTTAGATTAAATATTAGGAAAAAATTATTTTCTGCAAGGATGTTGAGGCACTGGAACAGGTTGCCCAGAGAACCTGTGGAAGCCCCCTCCCTGGAAGTGTTCAAGGCCAGGCTGGATGGGGCTTAAGCACTGTGGTCTGGTGAGAGGTGTCTCTGCCCATGGCAGGGGGCTTCAAACTAGATAATCTTTAAGTTCCCTTCCAACCCAAACTATTCTATGATTCTATGATTTTGAAAAAAACTATAAGACATATTAAGAAGAATTTTGAAAATTAAGAGATCTAGCGACCAGTCTGACCAGTCTCATTCTATCTCTGCAGTTCGACAATCAGCAAGCACTGGGAGGCAGAGCTGGCCACGCTCAAGGGTAATAATGCTAAGCTCACAGCAGCCCTGCTGGAGTCCACTGCCAACGTAAAACAATGGAAACAACAACTTGCTGCATATCAGGAGGAAGCAGAGCGTCTTCATAAGCGCGTAAGTCAAGGCAAATAGCCAGGATCCTTGAGGTGGAAGTGCTTTTGACTGTATTTGTTAATTTTCAAGTAAGACAAATAAGTGTATTGCTGGGGTTTTAGGTTAATCTTGGAGACAGAAATTAGTTATTGCTTTAAAGCACACAGAGTTCCTCCAGTGGAAAAATTTTTACTTTGTAGTTCTTTTTCTTCAAAGGGTATTGTTTCAGGAACAGTTATCTAATCTTGACATGTTTGCCAGCATTTAATGCTATCACATCTGTTTCAGGACCTTCTTCATAGCATTACGCTTCAGTCCCTCGCATTTAAGCCCACAGAAACTTGACATCAAATCTGTTAGATAAAGAAACCTTGTTGGAGTTTCAACATATAACAAAGATGAACATCTTCCTCTGATCCTTGCATCTAAAGAAAACTGAACGTAGATTCAAGATCATTGTATGCTTTCATACAGTAAGGCCTCAGTCCTGTCCCCTTCACTGTAAATTTTGCAGAGGTCATTTGGCAGAACAGAAGTTGGTGCACAGTGCGAGAAGGAATGTCTGTGTGTGAGGGAGGAATACACATGCAAGGTTGAAGGCTGCATTATTAAAACCAGTATTTACACACATGTATAGTATATATATACACAGTCTACATACAGATGATATATATATGCGTGTGTGTGTATGTGTATGTGTGTATGATGTATTGTGTGTATATGTTATACAATCTATATATATACACATATGTATGTATAGAGATATATATATATAGTATAATCTGTTCACCTTTATCCACATGAATTTGTTGTCATATCTTAGGACACATTTTTTTGTGCAAAATGAAGGTAAGATTACCACATGTGTGGTGGGAAGGTAGCTTCAGTGAAGCTGCATTACGTTTCACGCAGAATCACAGAGTTGTTGAGGCTGGAGAAGACCTCTGAGATCATCAAGTCCAGCCTATGACCCAACACCACCACATGGGCCAGACCACGGCACTGAGTGCCACATCCAGCCTCTCCTTAAACACCTCCAGGGACAGTGACTCCACCACTTCCCTGGGCAGTGCATCTCAATTTTGTTAGTATCATTTAACTTTGAAAAATATCAAGGGATGAACTTAGTTTAGACAATAAAAGCAGAAGTAGCAAACATAACAGGCCTTTTAATTTGATTTTCTGTGCTGTACCCACCTATATGAAATAAAGTATGGTGGTTACAGTTAGGCATATCCAGTGAATTGCGAAGGGTTCTTTCAGACCTGCACAAGCTTGTCCAGCTGGAGGCTTCTAGTAGTCCCCAGAACAAGGCTCATTCATCTGACCTGAGGGTGTGAAAGAGTTGCAAGAATTCTCCTGAGCTTGAGAAACCTGAGGAGCTGGAAGGTTGTGGGGGTTGTCCTATACCAAGACTAACTTCCAGAAAAGAATCCTGAAGTCCCAGTCAAATTATTTGATAGGGAAAAATGATGAATTCTGATGGACAGTAGCTGTGTGTGCCATAGCTTGCTGGACAAAATGCATGAAGTATAATTAAAAACTAATTCTTTTGTGAAGTGCTTTCAGTTCAAGAAATTGACAGTTGCTGACAGAACTGCTTTGCTTCAGAAATTTTCCAGTCAGGCACAAGCTTGTCATGTGAGGCTTATACTATATACAGAGAGGGACTCACTTTGTCTGTCATCTCATTTAAGCTTCCCCTTCAGAAGGGTAGGAGCTCTATGCAGTGCTCCAGGTTTGACTAGATGATAATAGTCATTATTGATAAAATTATTTAAATTACAGCCTTGTATTAAAATCACTGAACTACAGATGTTCAGGTTGATTTGACCACCAGATAGACTTTATATTAAAGAACTTATTGGTAGAATGTGGACATAATGAGTGTGTATTCTTCCTAATAAAATGTATTAACAGATTTTGTTGCAAAGCTGAGACAATACAGTCATTACCTAAGAATGAAAGGAAAAGTAACACACAAGAACAGCTGCTCCATTTGCTGTCAGGAGACCCAACCAGACAAGACAGACAATGAGCTCTTTTTCTTGATATTACTCTCACTTTTATTCAAAATTATTTAAAATTTGTTATTGAAAATACAGTTAATAAATATAGGAATTTTTAGCACATCACTTTGCTTTTATATGTTACTAGAGTTTATGGAAGTAATAACCAAGTCATTGTAGCTACCTTCATTAATACCTGATGTTTTTCGTAAGCTTTGCCCAGCAAATTTCCTGCAATTATTCTGTATTTGAGGGAACACAAAATCTTATAACATGGGATCATCTACACTATACTCTTCTGATCACCATTTACATGCCTTTGTTAAATGTTTCTGTAATCTGTGACATCAGGGCTTGCTGATATCTCATGCAGAATATAGGAACACTCTGTGCCTCAGTCTTTCTGGGCATGCCTCTAAATTACAACAGGATAGTTGATCAAGAGTACTGCCCTCTGTTCGAATTGCTTTTAGAAAAATACAAACTTGGTTAACAAAATAAATTGAACTCTCTAGGCAAAAGTTTGCAGATTACGTTAAAAAACCCCAACAATCTCAATCTGTTATCCTCACAGCATGATACAAGAGTTCTTCTAACCTGTATGCTGGAGACTGATCTTTCAAATTGAAGTAATGCCCCATTTCAAAAATAAACTGCAAGTCAGATGCTTCTCTCTTACACAGATTGAAAACATGCTGCTGAAATACCAGATCTGGAGACTGTTGGTTATGGTACATGTGGTAGCAAGCAGTGTTAAGTTATTGTGTTATCTTTCTGTTCAGCTTATCCATTAAGATCGGTGTAAAGTCATAGATGAAACTGATCAAAAAAATGTTCCTCAAACTGGAATCTATCTCACCTGATACTATGTAGAAATTAGGTATCAAATCTAAGATGGCCATCTTTTTTCCGTGTAATTCTTGGAGAGACAGAAGTATGAGGAGAAGGTGACCCAGTCTTAAGAAAACTAAGGTGCTGAGTTTAATTTGCTTCTGTAAGTGCTTGTCTTTCTTCATAGGAAAATCATCTAGATAGTCCTTTAGACATTTTTTTAGTCAGATGAAATGAACTCCATCCCTAGTTCATAGAATCACAGAATAATTTAGCATGGAGGGGAACTTCAGAGGTTATCTCCATGTACCAGTATAGGTTGGGGACTTACCTGTTGGGGAGGCCTGCAGGGGAAAGGGGCTTGGGGGTCCTGTTGCACGGCAGGATGCCCAAGAGCCAGCAATGTGCCCTCGTGGCCAAGAAGGCCAATGGTATCCTGGGGTGTATTAGAAGAGGAGTAGCTAGTAGGTTGAAAGAGTTCCTCCTCCCTCTCTACTCTGCCCTAGTGAGGCCACATCTAGAATACTGTGTCCAGTTCTGGGCCCCTCAGCTCAAGAGAGACAGGGAACTGCTGGAGAGAGTCCAGCGCAGAGCCACAAAGATGGTGAAGGGAGTGGAACATCGCCCTTATGGGGAAAGGCTGAAGGAGCTGGGTCTCTTCAGCTTGGAGGAGACTGAGGGGTGATCTCATTAATGTTTATAAATATGTCAAGAGGGAGTGTCAGGCGGACAGAGCCAGGCTCTTCTCAGTGATGTCCAGTGACAGGTCAAGGGGCAACAGGTGCAAGCAGGAGCGCAGGAGGTTCCACAAAGACATTTGCTTTGAGGGTGCCAGAGCCCTGGCACAGGCTGCCCAGGGAGGTTGTGGAGTCTCCTTCTCTGGAGACGTTCAAAACCCCCCTGGACACCTTCCTGTGTGACCTACTGCAGGTGATCCTGCTCTGGCAGCGGGGCTGGACTAGATGATCTTTCAAGGTCCCTTCCAACCCCTAACATTATGTGATTCTCTGGTCTAGTCCAGTTCTCCACTGAAAGCAGGGCCAACTTTGAAGTTAGGGCCAGCTTTGAAGTTAGATCCAGCTCCAGAGCAGAATCAAGTTACTTTGAGCTGTGACTCAACTCTCAAGAAATCAAGATCCCACAGCTTCTCTGGGCAGCCTTTTCCAATATTTGACCACCATATCAAGTTATTTTTCCTAATATCTTATCTAATTGAAATTTGCCATGCTGCTACTTGCACCTGTTGCCAGTTCAGAAAAAAACAGGGTTTGGTCCAAAAGAAAATTTGGTGAGAAAAGTTGAATAGACTGGATTTTTTGAAATATCATAAAAATATTAATTTCAAGGAGAAAAAGAATTTTGGAAATCAGTTTGCATGTTCGGTTGTAGTTTTTGTTTTATATAGAAAAGTTACCTGTCACAGCATCTTGCCCACTGAAAAAAAGGATATATGTAGATTATTTATGAATTGGAGGCATATGCTTACTTATAAAATCATAGAATCATGAAATTCTTTGGGTTGGAAGGGACCTTCAAAGGTCATCTAAGCCAACCCCCCTGCAATGAGCAGGGGCATCTTCAACTAGATCAGGTCACTCAGAGCCCTGTCCAACCTGACCTTGAATGTCTCTAGGGATGGGTCTTCTACTAGCAAGATCATAGTCTTGTGTAAAATAGACTAGCCTCCAAAAATGAAGAGTGATGTTGCTGACATTAGCTGCTATGTTTAGCTCAATTTAATAATATATTGTGTGGTTTATTTATAATGTGATTATGGTTATGTGCTTTAGGTTTATATACAACTTTTTGTGCCTTAGTCATCTGTCTGCAAGCTAAAGCAAAATTATATCCTCTATGAACTGTGCTATGCAGGGGCAACTAATGCATATTGATTAGTAAACTCTGTGTTATTATTTCCATCTTTTGTTTCTTTTTTATATAAATAGCCTTATTTACATAAATAGTTTCCTCTTTATAGTGAACAAAAAAATTTTTTGCTAATACTGACTTACTAGTTGACTCATGGTCCCTTTTAGAACAGTTAGAACTTTGTCATGTTTTATTTGTAAACATCCTTTGATTTTACATTATATCTCATTCTTCTATCCAATATATCTTATATATCTTATATATCTTATAT